TCCCGCCATGCTTGGGTACCTGCCTTGGACACCCCAGTAAGCTTTATATGTGTAATAAGCCTTTTCATAACTTCGTAGTGCAAGTTATCTGATCCAGCTTTTGGGTGAGGGGACTTACTCTTTAGGAAGTGGTCACAACACCCTGTATGTGTAGGAAATCTGAGTGAGTGAAGAAATCCACTGGAACTAGTAAACAAGTTCAGCAAGGTCTTGAGAAAATAATGTATCCACTATAACTGCAGACAACAATCTGGAAATGAAGTTAACAAAATTCTATCTCAAATGGCATTAAAGAGAATATAATTCTTAAGAATATTTTCAACTAAAGAAATGTGAGACTTGTATATAGAAAATTATAAAACATCATTAAAAAAATGGGGAGTGACTCCATTTTAATGGATATGAAACTTCAGAATTATTAAAAGGGCAGCTCCCATCAGACTGTTACAGATCAGTACCCATCAAAATCTCAGCTGGCTTAAAGTATTTTTTGCAGAAATTCACAAGTTGATTCTGTAATTTATTTAGAAAAACAAGGGGCTGGGGATTTAGCTTAGCGGCAAAAAGCGCCTGCCTGGCAAGTGCAAGGTCGTGAGTTTGGTTCCCGGTACCGGAGAAACCCCCCCCCCCCAAAAAAAAAGAAAAACAAGGAGCAGAGCCAAAATAATTTTGAAAAAGAAAAAATGAAGTTGGAGGATGTGAACTTCTCAGTTTCAAAATTTAACTACAAAACTGCAGTAATCAAAACACTATGGTTTTGACCTAGGGTAGAAGTATAAATGAGTGCGACAGAAAGAGTCCAGAAATCTATTCTTATATTTATGGTAAGTTGGTCTCCAAAAAAGTGCAAAGCAGTTTAATTAGCAAAAGGGTAAGGGAGAGTGGCCCTCTTACAAAATGCTGCTAGAGAACCGGAAGTGAACTTTGACCGTCACCTCCTACTGTACATAAAAATTAACAAAAGAATCAAAGATCTAAATATAAAAGCCAAGACTATAAACCTGTGGAAAGAACATACAGGAATAAGTTTTTGTGACCTTTGCTTAAGCAAAAATTTAAAATAGTACAGCCATTTAAAAAGATTAATAAGTTAGATTTCAGCCAGGGATATAGCTCAGTGGCACAAGTACCTGCCTGGCCAGTATAAGGTCATGAGTTCGATTCCTGGTAGCCCCCCCCCCAAAAAAAAGTTGGATTTCATCAAAATGTTTAAATTTTACATTTCAAAAAAATGCATTATTAAGAAAATAGAACAATAAACCAGATTGGGAGGAAATACTTGAAAATAAAGACTTGCGTCTAGTTTATAGAAAGAACTCTTTAACATCTCAGCAACAGGAAGACAACCCAGTTAAAGACTGGCAAAAAGTTTCACTAGACATTTCAGTATAGAAGCTATAGAAGCAAACAGAGAGATGTTCAACGTCATTAGTCATTAGGAATATTAAATTAAACCAATGAGGCACCACTTGTACTCACAAAAAAGACAAGCGTTGATGGCGACGCGGTGAAACTGCCTGCAGCTTGTTAGTGGAGCTTGAAGTGCTGCATTCACTTTGGAATAGAGTTTAGCAGCTCCTTGGTAAGTTAAGCGTAATTTACCATGCAACTTGACAATCTCTGCCTAAGAATCTACTCAAGAGAAGTGAAACTATGCCCACACAAAGGTTTATGTGTGGATTTGTGTACCGGCATTGTTCCTGGTAGCCCAAATTGGAAGCATCGCATGTTTTTGGCTAGTGAATGTGATGTGGTATTTGCACTCAGTGGGGTATTTTCAGCAATAAAAAGGAACCGAATTTACAGGTGCTGCCACATATAAACCTTAAAAACCTCCTTAAGTGAAAGAAGCCAGGCACAAAAGACGACAATGTGTGAGTCCAGTCATATAAAATGTCCAGAACAGGCAGGTCCTTGAGCGGAACAGTGGGGTAGTGATGGCCGGAGATGAGCTGGGAACCAGGAGGAACTGCGCATGGTCGCTGGGTCTCCGTGTGAGGGCGGAAACGTGCGAGAACTGAATTGTGGTGACGACTGCACTCTAAATCTCCTTACTAAAAGTCACCGAGTTCTACATTTATTTATTTATTTATTTATTTATTTTTTGTTTTTGTTTTTTTTCTGGTACCGGGAATCGAACTCACGATGGCACACTTGCCAGGCAGGCGCTGTGCCGCTGAGCTAAATCCCCAGCCCCCCGAGTTCTACATTTAAATCAACTTCGTGGCATAAAAAACGCTAAAATTGCATTGACGCAGGAGGGGGAAAGCACCACTTCAGAATAAACAAAATTGTATTTACAGAGACTATTTTAAAAGGTTGCTTGAAAATTTATTAATACTAATCAGAAAAGTATAAATAGAGAAATAGCCTTTTTATATCCCAGAAATTCTTTGAAAAATAGTTACTTCTGTAAGAGTAATAAGGATGAACATAAATAAATTTAGTAAATGTACTTCTATGAAGAAAATTACAAGTTATAAAAGAATAGTAAAAATAGGGAAACAGTTTACAGTTAACTCAGTATTGTCCTACTTTAAAAATTGAAGGCAGTTCAAGTGGGAACTATAGATTTTTTTAAAAAAAGAACTTGATACAGTGTCTAAAGCCTATCTAAAATGCTGACCCCATGAGCAAAGCATTTTCATAAACAATGAGAGGATCTTACAACTGCCAGAAGCTCACATGCATGTGAAATTACATTGATTAGAACAAGGGGGGTATTGACAGAATACCCCTAAAGACTTCAAAGATCAGGAACAAAACAAGAATAATTACAGACTGAAACACTTATTAACTGCTTAGAAAATTATAACCATGTCCAATATGACAAAATAAATTAAGACTAATCAAAGTGCTTGTGTTTAAAAAAAATCTACAAGATACAAGTAGAAAAATATAAATTGTGTATCAGATTTCTGAGTGGAAAGATATTAAATGTGTGTATATATGTACATTACATATCTGTTTTTCAAACCAAAAATTAAGCTATATAGGAAATTATTAGGCTTAGCCTCAAAAAGTTTTAACTTATCTATGTTCTAAATACTACAGAAGACATTGAATGTACACATTAAGTGTCATGTGTGCAGGTAATCAATAAAAACCCTAATAGCCAGGCCTGGTGGTGTATGCCTATGATCCCAGCTGCACAGAAGACGGGCAGGAGGATTGCAGGTACAAGGCCAGCTGGGCAACTTAAACCCTGTCTCAGAAAAGGGCGAAGATGTTGGTTGGGGTGTGCTTCGGTGGCAGACCAGTTGCCTCGCTTGCACAAAGCCCAGCATTCAATCATTAGTACTGTTAAGAAAAAAACCAGGGGCTGGGGATTTAGCTCAGCGGCAAAGCGCCTGCCTGGCAAGTGCAAGGTCGTGAGTTCGGTTCCCGGTACCGGAGAAAAACCAAAAAAAAAAAAAAAAGAAAAAAACCAGATAGGTAGATAGATAGTTAGATGTAGATATATACAGATAGATAGATATAAAATAGTACCTTAATTGGAATTCACATCCGTACTCTCTTTCCCTGGAAATAATCAGCCTCAAAAACCAGAGATCAAAAATGCCAGCCCCAGCCAGCCTGTCCTTGCCGGGCTTGCCTACAGATAGTCACCAAACCAGAGAACAGTGAGGGCTGGTCAGGCAAGGGTGGGATAACTGGCTTTTTGATCTCTATAGTTTTCAAGGCTGATTATTGCCAGCTAGGTCTTATTTTCTTTTCCTTTTTTTGTGGGGAGGGGTACTGGGAATCAAACTCAAGACCTCATGCTTGACAGGCAGGCGCTGTACCACTGAGCTAAATCCCTGGCTAGGCCTTATTTTTGAGGAAACACAGTGGCACTGCTTAACTTGTAAACTTCTGGGAGAACAACTGCCTTTCTGTCCTATCAGAGAAGCATAGTAAGTATCATTTTTGGCCTATTGAATCAGAAACGGTAAACTAAAAGTATGCACTTGCATATTTTTAGTGGGAAAATAACTTCATGGAGTTTTTTTTTAAATGACAATCTGGAGATTTTAAGTCAGAAGCCGTAGAAATGTTCATACCCTTTGTGCCAGAAATACCATTTCAGTGAGTTTACTCTAAAGAAACAATCAAGTGTATAAAGATTTAGGTGCAGGAGTTGTCATTAAATCTTTATAACATCCATAAATAAAAAATGTATACTGAATAAAAATTACATTCATGCAGTAGACTCATATGGGAGAAAGTTCAGTGATATAAAATGTAATAATATGTTCAGATACAATAAAGTTTAATATGTCCATCTCCCATTTTTCTAAAAAAATTTTTAAAACAGACACCAATGCATGACTTTCTGAGTAATTAGATTAAAGGTGATTTTTGTTCTTGTTAATTTAGAAGATTTTTGGAATGAATATATAATATTTAAAGAATACCCCGAATGTTATCTTTTTGCTTCAAATGTTCTTTAAAAAATGTTATCCCCAAGATGGCATTGGTCGCGTAGTGCGCAGAGGAAAATGGATGAGAATGATAAGCAGTCTCAGTGGAAAGGAAGAGGTGCATCCCCCGTCCAGCCACCAGGTGGCACTGTAGGCCAAAGCCTGTGCTGCAGACCAGCCTGAGAGCTGCAGTGTAATAGTACAGCCGGGCGAGGCTGGGGCGAGGCTGGGTCTAGTGAAGTTGTTTTTTGTTGTTGTTTGTTGGCGTGGTGATGGTGGTGTGGCTTTCCTTGTAAAAGGAAGACATGAAGGGGGTAGACTGAAAGAAACTGCATATTTTTAAGGGGAAATGGACAAAAATGAAGCAGGGTGAGAAGAGTTCTATAGAAAGGGAGATTTCTTCCTTTGAGTCCGCCAGGTAGGCCGGAAGCTACCTGTATGGGCACCTTATGGAGTCAGCAAAGGAGGCTGTGGTGCTGTGTTAATGCTGGGTTCAGAAAGCTCACTTAGGAGAGCTGCCTTGTTACAAAAGAGGAATTTTAAGTGGGATTCTGGTATTTAAAGATGACTTAATTCTGCCTTTTTCTTTTCAAATAGCTGTCACGGGAAGTCTTTTCAGAATAAGCTTAGGTGTACGTGGCCTGCTGGCTGGTGGTATAGTTGGAGCCTTGTTGGGGTAAGTGTTTTGATTCCAGATTGGTACATTTATTAATACCTTGCCTATTAAAAACGTCATTCCCCAGGTGTGGTGCACACCTGTAACCCCAGCACTCTGTGAGGCTGCGGCAGGAGGGTCACCGATTTGAGCCCAGCCCAGGCAACTTGAGGAGACCCTGTCTCAATAAAAACTAAAGGGCTGGGGATATAGCACAGTGCTACAACCCCCAGTACTTCAAAAAAATTTTTTTGTTTTGTTTTTTTCATTTCCAAAGAACAAATTTAATCCTGAGAGCCTGTGAAAGACCTTTACTCTTACATGGCAGTAGCTTTGGCAATCTACTTACAATTGTCCTTGTTGTTTATTTTACTCACAATAAATAATTTAATATTGATTCAGTATAATGCTCTTAAAATCGGCTCCATATTCAAAATTACTCATTTACAATAACACCCAGGATGTGCTTCAATTATTTTCAATTATTTGCTCGTGATTACATTTAGGTTAAATGTCCTTGTAAGGAATGACGACAGAAGTCGTGCTTTCAGAATATCACATGAAGAGCCGCACTATGCACCCTTTACAAGTAATGCTTAAGTGTTGGTTATCTTGGTTTTATATTGCTGTCTAAGAGATCGCCCTGAATTGAGCAGCTTATAGCGACCCCCGCGTATTACCCCTCAGCACTGCAGATCAAGTCTGGGTGGTCCAGATGGGTTTGGTGCTGGGAGTTCCTTGAAGTCAAAAGCGCGGTGCTGATCAGGTAGCTTCTGACCCTGAGGCTTTGGGGCGGAATCTGCTTCCAAGCTCACTCAGGTTGTTGACAGAGTCACTTGATGGGATTCTGGTTTGAGGCCCCTGCTTCCTTGCGGGCTGTCAACCAGGTTGGGAGCTCTGTCCCTGGAGGCCACCCACGTTCCTTGCCATGGGGCCCAACTGTGTTCAAGCCAGCAACGGTTCCCTGAACCTTTCCTTCACACACTTCAAATCTGCTGCTCCCACTCTGCCTGAGGAAGCGGGTTTGTATTACACGCGTGCTTATTTATTTCCTTATTCCTTTGTTTGGGTTTTGAGACAGGTCTCCCCGTGTACTCCAGGCTGGCTTTCAGCTTGCTGTGTAGCTCAGGATAGTTTCCAACTTTCCGTCCTCCTGTGTCAGCCTCCTGATTGTAGGTGTCCACCACCATGCCCAACTAATACATGTTTTCTTTATCCACTCTGTGCACGGACATACAAGTTCCTTCCACTTAGCAAAAATTGTTTTCAAATGAAATTACTCAAGTGGTAACCCGGGGAAGTTAAGTTATACCAAAGTCAAAAACTGTTTCTCTCTGAGAGGCCAAGAAACGAATTCTCCCGTCACTGTAATTATTACCATCTAAATTAGTTCCTCAGTGTGTAACTGTTGGCTGTGTAGCAAAGACAGTTGTGGCAAAGTCTTGATTTGTAGGATGTTTTGGTAGCTTCCCACCCCCGAGACGATAGCATCGGTCCCCTAGTGGAGCATGCCTTCTGCGTTTCCTGTCCTCTGGAGGACCGGTACCACTGTGAACTAGGACTGGCACTTCTGGGAAGACTTCCCTCAGACCTGCTTCCTAGAACTGGTCATAAATGTACACACTCCCTCCGTGCCCTGGTTTGTGTCTCATTCATGATTTTTTTAAAAAGAGCCAATTTCTAGGTTTTCTTCTTTTCAATTCTAGTGAACATTAGGAAGTTGCATAATTGTCTCTGTTGTTTGGTCCAGGAAGGAGGTTGCCTTAATATAACTTTTTTATTTGACAAAGACACTCTGTCAAACGCCCTGTGTCTGATGGTGAACAGGTGGCTGTGTGGTGTCGCGTAGTCCAGATGTTCGCAGTCACAGCGCGCAGGGCTCGCGGTCCCTGACTTTCCCTCCGCTTTCCTGCAGCACTCCCGTGGGAAGCCTGTTGATGGCGCTTCAGAAGTACTATGGCGAGACGGTTCAGGAGAGGAGGGAGAAGGACCGGCAGGCCCTGCACGAACGGAAGCTGAAAGAGTGGTAAGGCGCTGTGGAGACCAGCTGCCCTGGCCACAGGCGCTCCGCTGGCGCCCTCCTGACCGTGCTCTCCACTGCCCGTGGTTCCAAGAAACGTCTCTTTGGACTGAATCTTTTACTCAAATTCGTCCTGTCTTTCAATCCATTTAATTACGGAGAATTAGGAGACACTAATTTTATTTTTAATGTGATGAGGATCTTTATTGAGACACTCTTTTAAAAGTTAAAGTGCTGTAAATGTACTCGGTAGCATATTTTTTTTTTCTTGTTCTGTGTTCTTAACTGCATAGGAAATTACCGAAAGGGAACACACACCGAGGAGTGAGCTTTACTTGTCTTGCGTAAAAAGAGTGCCATCGCGTGTATCTCAGGTACTTTTCTCGTTGCTGAGACATAATACCGGACACTCAGAGTTAAAGGGGAAAGGCCTATTTAGCTCACAGTTTGCGGAGGTTTCAGTCCATGTCGGCTGGCTCCAGGGCTGGGTGGCATGGCAGAGGGCAACAGTTTGTGGCAGTGGAAGACAGCACAAGCAACAAAGGGAAGACAAGCCTCTTTCTGTCCCTTTTATCTTACCCAGACTACCAGGGTTAGGGCGGTGCCACACCAATGATTTGGTAATCACACACCCTTAATCCACCATCACGTACTCTGGATTCAGCCATCTCTGAAAAACCCCTAGGACCTCCTGTGGCCGTGGGGGGCATCTAGACCCGGACCATCATACCCTGTCTTGGATATGACATACAGCACACAGCACAGAGCATGCTGAGTCTCTGCATTCAGATCTTCTGCTTCCTGCTGCAGACTGAGAGGAATGAAGCGGACAGAGTGGCTGTCTGTGCAGTGGGTGCCGCCGAGGAGTGTGACAACTCTTGCCTGTTCTAGCTCATCACTTCCTGGGTGGGAAACGGTGATGAGACCACTGCAGACTGCAGATTTTAAGGAAGATCAGTGTGACAGGCTAGTATACCTAGTACCCCCTGCATAGAAATGATTCTCACGGTTCAGCTTCCTGGGTACCTGTGAAGACTGCTGCTGCTGCTATTTTGGTAACTGGGTAGACAGGCAATCATTTTTTCCATTGATTTTATTTGAACCTTTATTTGTGTTAAGTGCATATACACACATGGAAATTCTTAATACCTGTGGTTGTGTTGTCCATGGACTTTAAGTGCTGTAGGAGAAAAGCATTGATTTTGGAGCGAGCCAGTGAATTCTTAAAAACTGGGCTTAACTCCCAGCTAGACTGTGAATTAGTTCTGTGACCTTAATTTCCTTAACTTCAAGCCTTTGTTTTTTTTCAGCTGCTCTGGGGCAGAATTTGCAATGCCCAATAATTGTTTTCCTGGTCATAGCATGCAGTTATCTGGGTTCTAGGGTGGAGTGCTAAAAATTTTCAAAGCCAGCAAAATTGGATATTATGGAGAATTAAAAGCACAAGAGCATCAGCTTATTTCTTATTTCCTAGGTGTCATAAGAAACTTCTTTTTTGATAAGGAAGTTTTGAGAAAGAAGTCAGAAAGGAGAGGAAAAATTTGACCGTTTGTCTCTGATATAGGATGTTACGGAAGAATTTAACATTTTGGAATAGATGAACAGATGCTAACTATATTCTAATAAACAAGAAGTGACGGGACAAGCACCTGCCTGGCAGGCACAAGGTCCTGAGTTCGATTCCTGGTACAAAAAAAAAAAAAGAAGCGAGAAAACCTACAAAAGTTGATTAGTAGTTTAGAGATTTAAAACCTTAAGAATGAGTAAAAGCAATAACTGATTACGGTGGTGCCTTGGTTCATGAACTTAATTTGTTCTATGATTCTGGAAAAGATGGCTGCAGTTATGTTCATCACCTGATGCAGAATTGGCAAACAAGAAAAAATTTTGCCAAACACCTGTGTTTGTGAACCAAATTGTTCACAAACAAAAGCATTTGTGAACTGAGGTACCACCATGTAGTAATGAAAGGATATTTTGGCAAGAGGAAATAGTGTTGAAAAGATACAGCTTTTATAGAGGAGTGGTGTTTGTATATGTGTGTGTTATTTCTAAGGAGAGTTAATTCAATACATGTTTAAGTACCTTCTGTACATCTGCTGCTTTGCTTGAAAATGATACAAGGAAATCAGAGTTTCAAAAATTTCCTTACTTAGCAGAAGTCCAGAAAACTGGTTATAGGGATCTGGAAGAAGAAATGGGCAAATCTGGTTGAGTTGCATTGAGAATAAAGTTGTTAGTTGCCCTGATAATCACTTAAAAGAAAGGAAGATACAGTACTAATAGTTGATTTAGAAAAAGAAGTGATGTATTATTATTTGGAAATTAGATCCTAACTCTTCATAAATATACTTGACTTTTCCCAGATCCCCACTGTTAACAGCTTTAGTCCCGTTTGTGTGAAGGTCTGGTGAGGATTTGTGGAGTGGCAGGGTGCTCACATTCCTCCAGTTCAGGGGCAGGAGGACAGCCCAACTTGGAGACTTACACAGGGCTTGTCCACTTCCTCCCCCCCCCCACCCTCCCCAGCACTCTGGGGCCTGGGATGTGGGAATCTCTTAGGGATCAGAGCTGCTGTCCTAACCGTGCCCATTTTGGTAATGTGGGAACTGTGATCGGCTTGCCTCTTGATGAACTTCCTGTTCCTGTGACATAATAGCTGAGAAAAAAAAAAGGCAGAAAGCTTTACTTCGGCTCATGGTTTTGGAGGTGTCGGTCCGTGGCTAGCTGGCTCCACCGTTTTCAGGCCCCCATTGAGGCAGAAGCATCAAGGGGGAAGAGCGTGGCACTAGGAAGCAGAATGAGCAAGCCAGACAAGAAGTGATGGGGCAGAATATACCCTTCAAAGCCTCTAAGGACCCTTTAAGGACCTGCTCTGTGCCTGGGCCCCACCCCCTAAGAAGCCCTTCAGCCAATGAGTTCAGTAAGGGGTTACCCAGTCACTTCCCTAAGGCCATCAGTTGGCAGCCAAGTCTGCAACCCAGTGAGCCTTTGGGGGAACATGTTAGACCCCAGCAATAGCAGCCCGTGGGTACTGTTAGAGAACAAAGAAAGTCATTGTATTGAAGTGCAGGGAGCAGTGTTTGTTCCTCCACTGTCACATGAAAGCAGGGACAGTAAGACAAATACTGCCTTAAGTCTCTGAGAACTTCTACTTTTTTGATTACAGGAGAGCCAGACTGCAACTCACTGAACTCCTGCCTGAGGAGATCGAAAGTAATTTACAGAAAAATCAATCCCAGGACGATGCTGAGAAAATCGAAAGCCTGCTGAGCCTCCCTAGAAACCCTTCACCGGATAAACAGGGCGAGGACTGAGAACGTTCTGGAACTGAAGCACCCGGGGGAGTTGAGTGCAGCTGTGTGGCCGCGTCCGCCGATGCCAGTGCCAAGACATTCTTAGATCAGCCTGCGAGAGGCGTAAAGGCTGGTGCCTGTGGTGGCAGTGACTTATTTTTTGAATGGAGAATTGGACTCCTGTACTCTCACTTACCCTTAAATTTAAATTCATACTTAAATCTGTATCGGTCTATTGATCTTTACCCTGGATCTTATAAAAGTTACTAAAACTTTTCCCAAAAGGTGAAAGTTGAACTCCATGGGTTTTGTGTTTGCTCATGTAGTCCTTTGAAAGTGTTCTCTGGGAATGACGGGGAGGCGAGGAAAGAACCAGGCACGGAAACAGCTGGGAGTGCTCCGGCCCTGGAAGCGGTGAGGGCCTAAGTGCATAGTGGTGCTAGTCTTGTTTTAGCAAGGATCGAAGATGACGACTGCCATTTGAACTAAAACACCAACTGAACCAAAAGGAAGTAGGTCAGACATTGTGACACACTCGGACTTGCAAGATGTTGGTGCTGTAGTATGCAGGAGCTGCCGGGAAAACACCATCCCTGCACGCAGGAGTTTGCTGCCTCAGAAGGAAAACAGGCTGGAGTTCAGCAGCTCGTGCACGAGGAGGAGACGGATGACGGAAAGAAGTGTGCATCAGCCCCTCGTTGCTGCGGTTTTGCTTTCTGCAGCTGAATTACTGTGATCCAAAATTACTACATGAAAAATTCCAGAAATAAACCATACATTTTAAATTATATGCCTCTGCGTGTGTGTGTGTGTGTGTGTGCGCGTGTGTGTGTGTGTGTTACTGGAGATTGAATCCAGAGCCTTGTGCATGCGAGGCAAGTGCTTTACCACTGAACTACACCTTCAGCCTCAATCGTACGCCTTGCTGAGTAACATGATAGAGTTCAAGCTGTGCTCCTGCATGGGCCCATTGTCCCCGTGTCCAGCACATTTACACGTGTACCCTACCAGCTCTGTGGTCACTGAGGAGCCTTTTTGGCTTTCAGATCACAGTGCCTGTCTTCAAGTAACCCTTGCGTCACTGCGTCACGGCCCCGAAACACAAGAGTATTGACGTGCCGGATGTGCCAGACAAGCCGGAGAGCGCTTCCTGTATATAAAAAGGTGGGCGTTCTGGGTGACGTGCCACACGTGTGCTTCCTAGGCATCCACTCGGAGATGTTGGAGCGTGTGCCCCTGGATAAGGGAGATGGCTACGACATGGGGTCGAGGAGAACCTGCTGGTGTTTTCTTTCGGTGTTGGGTCTCTCTGCTTCTACTCTAAGAATACTCATGGTCCCCAGGAGCAAGCATAATGTAGTACCTAAAACCATGGCAAGCCTCTGGCCCTCTCAGCCAGGCAATTTAGTAGCCATGTGACACATAGCAAAGCCATTGTACTTGAAGTCTCAGTTTTCTCATCTGCTAAAAGCAATAGTATCCACTTGAGAGTGGTTATTAATTTGTTTATGTACAGTGTGGTACTGTGACATACATATTTGGCCTTTGGCCCTAACGTATAACTGCTGAAGACCCTGGGGTCTCTGAAGTGACAGTGTCTCTGTGGATGCTGAGTTGAGTGGTGGCTGGCAGCCCCAGCGGGATGGGGGCTGCTCGCCCAAAAGACCAGAGCAAAGTTAGAGAATAGGCTCTGGTAAGGGGAATGAAGCAGTGTTGAGTTGACCGCTAGTGGCCAGAGATTTCGTCAGTCATGCATGCGTGATCAATCTTCCATAAAAACTCAGAAGGGCAGGGTTTGGAGAGCTTTTGGATAGCTGAACAGGGAGTTTCCTGGAGAGTGGGCTTTGCAGAGAGAGCAGGAGGGCTCAGAAGCTTCCCACTCCTTCCCCAGGCCTTGCCCTATGCACCTGCTCCTCGGTACCCTTCGTTAATATCCTTTATAATAAACCAGGTCTTTGAGCCACTCAGGCAAACTAATCAAATCCAAGGATGGGCTTGTAGGAACCTAGCTTCATAGTGATTGGTCCGAAGCACTAGTAAAACAACCTGGGGCTTGTGATTAGCACCTGAGGCAGGGGCAGTCTTAAAGGACAGCCCTCCACCCATGAAAGCCAATGCCAGTCCTGGGAGGGTACTGTCAGAACTGAGTTGGATTAGAGAAAGTCCATTTTGTGTTCACTGCAGAATGAACTACTTGCTTTCTGGTGGGGAGAAACCTCCATATCTTCTGGGGTCACAGGAATCTATGTTGGTTGGGGTGAGTAAAGGGAAAAAGCAATCACTCCAACAGGTTCAATGCTCTCGCACTTGGGCGTTCCATAATAATAAGTATTAGTAGCTACAAGGATACAAAGACTTCTGTACCATTGTATTGCTTCTATGATCTACATGTTATTACTATATTCCATCAGGCATTTTCTCCTCAATTCATAAATTACTGACAAATTGGCAGTGTCCTAGTCACAATCTATTCAGTGTCCTAGTCACAGTCACATATAGGTTAAATCTTTCAACTAGAAATTATAGAACTAGAGAGTTGCTTTTAAAAGTAAGTTTATTTGTATCACAAAAATATCAAAATAATAAAGTACAACTTTTAAAAGGTAGAATACATTTATCAAATGTAATAAGTAATAATTTATTTTAATGACTACACTGTTCCTTAGACTTAACTTTGTAATTCTTTTTCAGGTGTTCTTTTGATCATATCTAAAGATCGTGAATCTTAGTTCCGTACTGTAGTTGCTGGGTTATTTGGTGTTTGTTTCTTGGCTTTGAGTTCTTCGTTTTCTTCAGTGATTTAGTTCTGAGCAGACCCATTTCAAAGTATACCTACATTTCTTATGCTGCAGAGCAGAATCTGTCCCCCTTAGAGCTACCAAAACAAAACATTTTAAATACAACCACGTTTGAGAAACTTGTCAACCTTCCTGTCAACCACCCATTTTCAGATGAGAATATCTCATTGTCCCGGTTTCAGTTGGGTCCACTCCTAGTTCACTAGCTATGGAAGGCCTTTTCAGAGAAACAGTGGGGAATAACAGAGGAACAGCAGTTGGCTACTTCTTTCTTTTCCGATGCTCTGTGCATGTTAGAGGATGCAGAAATACGAAAGAGGTCTAAGGAAGCCCCATCGAAGGCAATCATCCCTTATTTCTGAAGATAGCTTACTACCCAGTAAAAAACTATCTCATCTTACATGAGAACTTTCTCATGAGTATTTCACAAATGAGGCCAGACTAGCCTCAAGCTGTTTAAAGAGGTTATCAGTCCAATATGAACCAAAGACCATGAATATTTATTTAAACTCTCCCTTTCCAACCGAACCATAGCAGGGGATGAAAAGGACCATTTGTTATTTCTCAAGTTTATCTTGTGTAGTTCACTGAAGAAGCGAAAGAGCACCAGAAAATCTAGGTTCTGGCTCTTGCCTTCACAGTACGGGCCTTTTCCTGGGCCTTAGTATTCTCCCTTCTGGACATGAAGAAATCGTCCTGTCTAAGTCCAGTCATCAAGGTCACCAGAACTACTGTCCTATTCACACAGCATCCCACTAGTTTGCTTCTGCAGAGCCACAGAAGGGAAGAGTTTTGTCCTAGAGCACAGGCAGGATCGTCCTGGTCATCTGCAGACGTTTCTGGAAGAAGTCAGTCAGTCCCACGAAGCAGGTGGGACCTGAGGAAATAATGAATAAATGAGTACTTAAATTTGCAAGAGAGAGCATTTTAAAATTGTACATATTTTTTAATCTCAAGGCCAAGTATATTCCCAACTTGAAGTCACACTGTAAATACTAATCTTGCCAGCTGAAGCATAGGAAGGGAGACTTACAGAATTTAGAACTAGTCTAATTTTTACTACACGAAATATTTATCAAGCAAATGTTCATTATGTACCAACTATCCCCAAAGAACAAAATGCCGTGCACCAAAGCTCTCTTCTCTGTGTGGGGCAAGGCCTGCTCTTTTCTACACACCTACAGTGTAGGAAGTGATATAAAACAGGGATCATGAAAATAAACCCAGATAGTGTTTTGTGCTATACAGAAGTTCAGAGGTGGAGTTACTTCAACTTGACGAGGCGGTCACACAGCGCTTCGTGTAGAAGATGTGACTCATGATTCATGGTTTCATTATGAAGCATCATAGACCAGAAGACTTTTTCTTTTTTTACCTGAAGTCCTGGGAATTGAACCTAGGGTAAGTGTGCTGAGCTACATCCCCAGTCCCTTTGTTTTCATTTTTTATTTTGAGACAGACTCTTGTTAAGTTATGTGAACTGAGCTCAACCTTGTGATCCTCCTGCCTCGGCCTCTCAGAGTGTTGGGATTACAGATGTGCACCATTCCCTGCTCACGAGAAGGCTTTTAAGACAGAGGGAAAGTCAGGGAAATTCTACTTAACCACAGAACAAAGGAGGAGGAATATCCTGCAAATGGCAGCCCAAGAAGTGAGCAAGTATGTTGGAATGAAACCAGGATAGGAGTAAAAAGTACAGGTGCGCTGCCCTGCCACGTCATAGTGACCGAGCAGGAGCTTGCAGCCCCGTCCGAGTGCTGGCTGGCTCCTGATCTGTGTGACCTTGTGCGTATTGCTCAACTTCTAGGCATTTTGGGTTTCTCTCCCATAAAAATGGGTGTAGAAAAAAAATCACATGCTTTGTCAGATTACGATGAAACTGATTTTGCAAAACATAAAAAAGGGGTTATTTTTCATTTTCCTTTAAAGGCAATGTAGCAGACTCTCATTTTATGCTGGTGTTACCCTAAACTTCTAAGTCCAAGTGAGACTGTTTGTAGAGGTTATACCTACCGCGGGCCTGCTGTTAGTCTCCGACTGCAGTGTTCGTGTTTTTTTATGTGAAAACACCAGGGGGTTTTAGGAGAACGCTAAGTTGACTGAAGTTAGCAGTGTGACTGTTACCAGCACTACTGCCATGTTAACTCTTTCCTTTGAGACGGTAGTTATTCATGTAGAATAATGTTTTGTAATTATTCCATTGCATGTAGAAGGATGTTTTCTAATTGCATGTTTAAAATGGTTTCATTTGAGATAGTAATTACTCCATTGCACGTAGAGTCAGCAAGACCAGTTCTAAGTGTTGGATACCACTCGTGTAACTGGCCTGTTCATATGAAGGGTCTGGGGACTGTCATAGGAAGAACAGTGGAGAGAACAAAAGACCCACAGACTGGAGAGATCAGCTGGAATGTAGAGGGTTAAAAGTTTTGAAGCGTTTCGTGTAGCCCCTGAGCTGTTTGAGTGGGAAGTGACATGACAGAGTAACTCTTTATGAAATCTGACACAGTCATTGGTTGGTAGGATGAGTGTGCCAGTGAGGGGCAGAGAGATCAAAAATGATGTTACTAGGTTGGTACAAAATGTTCCCAATCTGTGTCCATCAACAGAGCCACGGGAGGAAATGAATGATCAGTAAGAAGGTAGCCCGGGAAAATTACTTCAGTGTTTGGTTGATAATGAAAGCTTAAACTGGCTGAGAAGAAGGAACATTTCCAGACGGCTGAATGGCACAGTAAAGAAAGAGGTTGCAAAGGCAGAGTGCCCATGGGGAGCCGGGAAAAGGCTGCCGATCTGTTTAGGGAAATGCCAAGGAAGTTTGTGAGAAGGTGAGGTGACAGGTGAAAGAGCTCAGATTCGGTACTGAAAGGACAACCGTGCCCCACCATCAACATGATGACATGTTCAAAATTGGTTAAGAATTGTTAAAGGAAGCTACCTTCAAACATTCTGTTTCACCTGCTGATTCTCAGGTTCACTATAGACAGTCTTCATCTGCCGTCTGGCGTCTTCTTCTCTCTCTCCATTGTGGGGCACATTCTTGGAGATAAACATGGACAATGAAACTGTTAGGTGATTTTCCCTTAAATGGTGCCCATAAATCTCAGCAAGTCTTCGGGCTGTGTTAGACTTAAAGCAGTGGTTCTCCCTCTAGGGGGGATTTCCAACCCACCCAGGGCCAGTTGGTGATATGTGGAGATATTTTTTTGGTGGCCACACTGTGGCAGGGGGTACTCCTGACACCCCAAGAGTAGAGGCCAAGGAAATTGGTAAAGATCCTCTAAATCACAGAGTAGCTCTAAAACAAGCTCGGTGTCATGTCCTATGCCTGCAATCCCAGTGGTAGGGAGGCTGAGATGGTGGAATCCTGAGTTCAAAGTCAGCCTAGGCTACATAGTGAGACCTCATCTCAAAAAACCGAAATTATCTAGCCCAAAATGTCAGTAGTAATAGTGCTGAGGATGAGAACCCTGAACTAGAGAGGGTAGGGATAGAAAGTTCATATTAGAAACACCTTGAGTCAAAAAAAAAAAAAAAAATAGAAACACCTCGAGTCCCCCAGACTCCTTTACTCCTTTGTCCTACCCATGAGATGGAGTGCTCTGAGCGTGGGCTCTAGTACCTTCCCTGAGCTTTGCTATTGTGTGTGTATGTGTATGTGTGTGTATATGTGTGCGTGTGCACGCGTGTGCGCATGCACACCCATTGAAGGGAAGTCAAGAGATGTCGGCCTTCTCATTTTCTTTGTTCTGTGTACCTAATTTCTCCTCCACAAAGAACTGATGATTACATGGTGATTACAGCCATAGTTTCATGATGGTTATAGCTGTAGCTCAGGCCTAGCAGGTCCTCTTCTCTTAATTACAGAGACTAAAAGTAGGATATATATAGGTCAGAAATTTAAATCCATAGGGTAAAATATCCTGGACATCTTTTTCATCAACCACTCCTCATATTTCATCCAAAAGTGTGTTTTGAAGAATTGAGAGTTGGTGAAAACATTTGTGGCCGTATAGTTCATCTGCTTAGAGTACGTCTCCTCTCCCTCCAGGAAAATGATTCTGGCCTCCCTATTCTTGCCATTCTGCCTTTCCTCAGACTCCAAATCAAAGATTAGAATCCTGGCATCAGAGATGTTTCCAAACTAGTTAGCAAGCCTCGGTGTCCCTAAGAAGATAGGAGATTAAGGAAAAATAAAAGGATTAAACTAGAATGCATTTTAGGGGCAGTGATTTCTTGTTTCAGTAACTCCAGTGCCTAGGAGAATGCCAGGCGCCTCTCAGGTGACCAGGAAATGTTTCTCCAGTGAGTGGGCAGAAATTGCTGAGACAAATTGTAGAGATTTGCTGCAAGTCTAAGAAGAGACTAGGTTGAAACTGAGAGAGCCTGAAACATACTGATAGGGTCTGGGCTTCCAGGAGTTGCCATCACAAGGATAAAAAGGTAGGACTTACTTTTGTAGACCAGGGCCCCGACTCCAAGGACAGAAATCACAAATATGAAAATCACGAAACTCATCCATGCTGGGAACTCATGATCAGGGGTATCAGGGTTTGACGGCTGGGCTACGGAGAGAAATGAATAACGTGAGCTGTAGTACTTTTCCTGCGGCTTGGCTCCCATCCCGTGCATCTTCTGTATGAAACTGCAGAGAATTTTTCTCTTCTTTGCCTGGTCAGCTCTCTAATACACAGCTGCCAGCATTTCTCTTGCATACTTTTTTCAGTGAGACACATACTGTGGGCAACTCATACTCAAATGTGAGATACTGGATATGAAAAGGACAATTTGAACTTTTGCACTTACTAAGGGCATAAAAAAGAATCTAGAGAGATACTTTAAAGGCTTCTTGGCATCCTAACTCATTTTCATAGCAGATAAAGCTAGCAGAGTCACTTGGCATTCCTTTGAAGGATGCATTTGTTTCACCATCTACCCTTCAGCTCCTGGCAGGATCAAAGAGGCCCAGCAAAAAGTACCAGTGGGTGTGCCTTGGTATTAGGTGGGGTATCCTGAAGACAGCTCTCCAGGCTCCACAGGGAGCACGAGAGAGCATAAGGAAGGAAGTGGGTGGGCGAAGAAAGATTTGTGTTTGTGATGCTGCCATCCCTCCCTCCTGATCATGCGCAGCAGCTACAACATTTATTTTTGAGCCCCTTTGAGTGAGCCACAAGCTCTGCAGAGAGGGCAGGATAGAAACTGAAAGATATTTTAGCAGCTCATCCTTTTCTGGTTTCTCTGGAATGACTTACAAATACACTTTAAACATTTGCTGACTCACTAGTTTTCGCTTTTCCGGGTACCAAGGCTTGTGGGTAAACTTTGATCTTTAGCTTATTGGACTTCTCATCGGCCACTGACCCACAGACTCCTCTTCCGCTAACTTCTACGACACCCGATCCTTCTGGTTCAGCTTTTTGCCCTCAATTTTCTTTGTAGGCTTTTCTTTTTTTTCTTGTCCTTTAAATATTGTAGGTCTCATGTCCTGTCTGTGGCCCAGTCCTCCCAGGTGATCTTATCCATACCCAAGGCCTAAAAAGCCATCAGATTTCTGAATCTGAATATAATATTTGTGATCTCATTTCTGGCACTGGATTTTGTAGCTGCAGCTGCTGACTACATGGCTGGGGGCCAGGTTCTCCACCTGATTGAACTGAACTCACCACATTCTTTCCAAAGCACAGCTACCAGCTGCATTCACCCATGGCAACAGATGACATCACTGCTAATCACCCAAATAAAAGAGACAGACTTTCTTTGTTCTCGTTGCCCAGTCAGCTCCCATGTTCTCGCTATGTTCAGAATATCTCTGACACTATTTGCTTTTCACAAATCTTTTGGAACAGCTGCCTCAGTTTGGATTTTTCTCATCTCCTGCCTAGTAGCCTCCTAGTTGCCCGCTTTGTATCAGTTGTCCTGGGCTATAATAATTCCTACACATTGCTATTACAGTCATTATCCAAAAATGCATCTCTGCACCAAGATGCTTGCCACAGACAAAGTAGGAAAAGCTGCCTTCTCCTTTTTCCTAAAATACCAGGTTTCAAGGAGACATCAAGTGATTCCCAGAGCTGGCCACTGCAGGCCAGAATGGCATATAAAGTAACAGAGGAGCCCTTAGAGGTGTCCTGGAGGCACAGAAGTTTCATAGGCTCCGGCTTACTCCTGGCTTCCTTTCAAAAACACTTCCCACCCACTCCAAAGCCTCAGCCAGCCTAGAGAAGCAATGTGTGTGTGAAGGGGAAAAGGAGCCAGGTACAGCCAACTGCCTCTGCCTTTGAGAAACCTCGTAACACACCCCGGGGTCAGACCCAGGGTCCAAAGTGCACAGCTGTGAGGGGCCCTGTGTGGAAGGACTCACACTAGAGGTCAGGAGGGGGCTGCCTGACTTACCTCCTTCCAGTTTATCAAGGGCTAACAGATTCATCATGCCTAGACTAAAAGAACCATATACCCAGTCTGTTCAGTGATTTGGGTTTTTCCCATATCAGGCGTTGATATAGCCAATACTGTGATCTCTAACATTTCTGTGAACTTCGTACCCAGAGAATGTTTCTTTGTACTGTCAGCCCTCAGCACCCACAGATGGGCTATTTGCTTTTGACTCTTGCTCTAAGGATGCCTGCGATCCCAAATACTTACACTCTCAAACTCTCCAGCCACAAAGACAGAACCCGTAAGCTGGTTAACAGCAGTGCCTGGGCTACACCTGGGGTTCCGCCTGTTATTAGAACAAAGTTTACTGGGACACAGCCGTGTCCTTCATTCATGTCTTGTCCATGGCTGCTTTTGCTGTGCGGTAGCAGAAGTGCGACGTGGTGGCAGAGACTGAACCACGCAGTCTAAAATACTCACTGTGTGGCTCTTCTTACAAAAATCTTGGTGACCCTTGCCTAAGAGCATTATGCATGCTTGCATTCCAAACACAAGGCCCAACTAAAATATGATTTGCTTCACTGATTCACCTCTGGAATATTCTAAAACTGGTTAAATGATGATATATTTATAGGGCAAAAATAAGCCCTGAATTAATAAACTGGTTTTATTTTACTATTTGAGTCAAACCTCACTTTTATAAATGTTTTAGAATACATAAGTGATTATCGAGAGAGATAAGTTTAGGGTATAATAATACCGTGCTGCACTGGGTTTATGTTGGAACTAATTTTCCCAGAAAATTTTATCTCATTATCCATTGAGCAAAATAGTTTAAAAATCCATCTCAGGACTGAAAGAGCTGTCAATAAATGAGAATGGAGTGGCTAAAATAGCTCCTCAATGACAAAGAAAAAAGGAAGACATATGCCACACCGTAAATTATACCATATGCTAACATACCACTGAATATCACACTCAAATGCATTGTTTATTATGCACATACATAAAATATATCTTTGGGAGCTGGGTTGAGGGGCATCCTGCTGGTCCCCTGTACAGTCAGCCACGTATTTCAAGTATTTGAATTCTCCTGTGATAACCTAACCACGTTTTTTTCTCCATATTTTATATTCAGATAATTTTACCTCTTGAGGAAAGAAAATCCTACAAGTTGAACTCTTGGCTCAAAACTGACCTCTTTTCTTTTCTTTGTTTTCTTTCCTGTTTTTTCTTTTTATTTCTTTCTTTCTTAATTTCTTTCTATCTTTCTTTCTTTTTTTTTTTAGACAGGGTCTCACTATACAGTTCAGGTTGGCTTTGAATTCACTTTGTAGCCTAGCCTAGACTCACACTTACAGTAATTCTTCTGCCTCAGCCTCCCAAGTGCTGGGATTACAGGCATGTGCCACCATGCCTGGCAATCTTTTTTTTTTTCCCTCAAGTATTATTTTCAAAGAGTGTATCACTCACTTGCTTTATCAGACTTTTGTTTTTTGTTTTGTTTTGTTTTGTTTCAGTACCGGGAATCAAACTCACAACCTCATGCTTGCTAGGCAGGCGCTGTGCCACTGAGCTAAATCCCCAGCCCCAAGACTTTTGTTTTAAGTATTGGGGATTGAACCCAGGGCTTTCACACTGAGCGAGATCCCTAGCCTTTTACTTTATTTTTACTTTCGTGACAGGGTCTCTCTAAATTGCTAAATTTTCAAGTTGCCTAGGCTGGGTTTAAACTTGTGATCCTCCTGCTTCAGCCTCCCAGAGTGCTGGGATTCTAGACCTGTGCCATTATGCCTGGCTGAACTGTAGTTTTTAAAAAGCATGGTGGCGCACACCTGTAATCCTCAGCACTTGGGAGGCTGAGGCAGGAGGATCACTTCAGAATTCAAGGCCAGCCTGGACTACATAGTGAAACCCTCTAAAAAAATAAAAAAGACTATAAAAAAAATAAATAAATAAAAAGCACATTCACTGATAGAAGACAAAGGTTTGATACCGTGGCACTGCAGGAGTTGGGCCCACTAGAAGAAAGTGCCAGAGGGCCAAGGGAATTATACAGGACAAGTATTATTACTTTCACTAAAAAGCAATGTGATTACAGGAGTTGCCAAGATGACTACTTGATGGACAGCAGTTGCTAGGTATATAAATTTTAAAACATTTGAAAAGAAAAGAAAATTAGCCCAGCAACATTATCATCACACCTTGTCCACTGACCTTGGTCATGACAGCACATTTTGAATGCCTAACATGACTATAAATGTTCAATCAAGCTGGGCGTGGTGGCACATGCCTGTAATCCCAGCAATCAGGAGGCTGAGGCAGGAGGATCCTTGCAAGTTCGAGACCAGTCTGAGCTACAAAGTGAGCTCAAGTCCAGCCTGAACTGCATAGCGAGACCCTGTCTCAAAAAGAAAAAAAAAAAAAAAAAATTTCAAAGTCAGTAAATTCAATCCCAGGACGGATCTGACTGAGTGATTTTCTTTCTAGATTCTATGGAGTGGAAAGTCCCAGGGGTGGCGTTGCTTACGTTTCTGCCAGATGAATGTCTCTGACACTGTTTTGTCTCCGTACTTGACAAGACACTTGAAGATGTGGTTGCTCGTCATGTTGAAATGCAGTTCACTGCTTACGGCAAATAGCTCTGTCTGGGGGTCCTGGGAAACCGTTGGGTGGGCAGTATTTATCTCTTCTCCATTTTCCAACCAGGAGAGGAGAGGCTTAGGAAAGCCTCCAGAAGTTGAGCATAGTATCATTTTAATGTCTGTAGATATATTTCCCAGGTCCGTGATACTAGGAGTAGGGAAGTCAGCTAGAGAAAAAACAAACATATAATTACATCTGGTTACAAATCTGTGTGTATGGGTTTATATATTTTTAATTTTTTTACAGATTTTTTTATTTTAAAGAGAATAAAAATTTAAAAAAACATTAAAAGCAATACAGCATTTCAAAACAAGATGCTAGGAAATCAACAATGGTCGTTATATTGCATATTATTATCTTCCAAGTAGTTGTTCAGATTACC